CGACCCCACTGTGCTACCGTTTTTTTTTTCCATAATTAAGTAATTTTTTTGGAGGTTTCCCCCATTTACGGGGAATGAGGGCATTTTTTCAATTTTTTAGGGTAATGTCTTCGACTAGATACAATTTGTGATCTTTTGACGTATCATTGAAAGAAATTGGTTCGGTGAGAGCTGAGAAAAAGTCGTAACAGACACAAAAAAAAAAACACATCATAGTAAAACCAATACCTTTTCAGCTTCGCATCGAAGCTTAAAACGAATTATCCCAGAGAGTAAGAATCTAAAGTATAGTGTTGCAGTTTTGGTGTATTTTAAAACTATTAAAAATACAGATTTTAATAGTGAAAAATGGCTTTTTATAGTCAGAGAAGAGAAGTCTAGCAATTCTTAGAGTGATCTTACAAGCTAAGGCTTTTTATTCTAATTAGTGAATTATAATGGAGTCTATTCGTGTATTTTTTTAATTTTTTGAGGGTAATGTCTTCGACTAGATACAATTTGTGATCTTTTGACGTATCATTGAAAGAAATCCGTTCGGTGAGAGCTGAGAAAAAGTGGTAACAGACATAAAAAAAAAACACATCATAGTAAAACCAATACCTTCTCAGCTTCGCATCGAAGCTAAAATATACTAACCTTACTATAAGAAAACTGAAATATTAACTATTATATTTATTTTAATAAATAAAGTGTAAATTCCAAAAAGTAAACATTATAATAATGTAATAAATAAATAGTAATTAATTAAAAAATATTAAGTAAGAATATAATGCAAATTAAACTATTTTTAAAAGTTAACACAAAGTTAAATTCTTATAAGGTAAATTTTGACAATTTAATAATAAATCAGTAATGAATTTTTTGAGATTTTAATTTTTAAGTACTATTCATAACTAGTTTTCTATAGTAACCTAAATTTTTATTTGTAGTTAAAATAACACTTGTCATGGTCAGTATTAAAATTATTATACACAAAACAATGTATTACAACAAGAATTATTTTAATATAGCAAGAATAAAGTAACCCTTTAATTTCATTATATTCTAGTTCTACATTATTTTAAATTTAATCATAGAATAAAGAATAAATTAAATAGATTAAATGATAGTAGTTTCATTTAATAACAATTAATGCTTATGTAGTTATATTAATACTAATAATACTAATTCTTAATTCAATAAAATAAATCATAAATAAAAATATTGGTTCAATAACCAATTATAATTAATAAAACCTAGGATATGCTAACATATTAATCTAAATGAAATAAAATATAAATAGACAATAATATGTAGCAATAATTACTCATTAAGTGTTAATCAAATGTAATAATAATATAATCTTTATTTTATATTAAATAATAAAACTTCAACTAATTCTCATGAAATTGAATATGTTAGTATGAGGCTTTTGTCTAATATTTTCAAATATGTTGAAATCAATCGTTTTTATTTTTTAAATTTGAAGTTTAAAACATTAATGTTGGTTAATAACACCTACTTGTAGAAAATACTAATATGAGTTGTCCCCTTATAATAATAAAAAACAATAATGACTATAATAATCATAAAGACTAAATAAGTATACAATATTAATACTATTGTGTCTACTTTAACGTGTTAAATCTCATAATTTTATATGTTTTTAAATTACTACTGAAGAGAAAATGTGATTAGTTTTGCTGCTTCCTACGTGCAGCTCTCTGTTTATCAAATCGCATTTCCATTTCTTCTAAAACTTTGGGTGTATACCTGACAACTAATTTAACTGATCCTTGAGCTTGTTTCAAAAGTTCCACAGCTTTTTCATGATTTTCTCCTTCAACACACTACCAAAAAAATACTATTAAATATAAATATTTTAAGTTTTAATTATTAATTGAACTACTTATTTAAAAAATAATTATTTACAAAATATTAAAAAACTAGTTATAAAATGTATTGTTTTTTTTAACAATTGCATCATTTAAAAAAAAATTTTTAAAAACTTAATTTATTTGAATTATATATTCAAAAGAATAAACATGTATCAGTATCTGATACAGAACTACGTAAGAAATTACAGTAGTCTTACATAAATATATTTCAGTAAGTTATGTATTTTTAAATCAATTCAAATTTAGCATTTAACAAGGTTTTTAAATGGGTAAATATAAAAAATATAAAATATATTAAGATCACTTTATTTTTTTTATTAACTTGATATATTTCTTATCTAATACTTTCCTTGGATCACATTAGTTTCAACATAACATAATTACGGTAACTAAAAAACAATTATTTTCTGCATTTCAATATTTTTGGTTTATGTCGTTATTCAAATGACGCAAGTCAAAAATTTTGAAAGTTTTGGTTTAACTGTCATTGAAAATATGTTATATAAAACTATGCTGTTTAATTCATGTAAACATATTATTCAATTAGCAAAATAATAAAAACAATTTTTAAATTAAATAATAAATTTAAAAAGTAGATTGTTTAAATGAGATAATAATGATCTATAAACTGTATAACATAGTTTAAGGCTTTTTAAATACTTGACATAATTTCTTCATATATGTAATTATTTTAACGTAGCCTTTCAATAAAACACAAAAATAAATAGATAAAAACAGGGTTTTTTTATACCTATAAAAGGTTTCCTAATATCTAGTTCACAACATTGATTATAATTTAGAAAACTATAAAAAAAGAAGTAATTTTGATAAATTTTTTTAATAAATGAACATTTCTAGACATTCATATAAAATTACTATTACATAGACTTACCACTCCATTCACAGACAAAAGTTGGTCTCCTCTCTTTAAGCCACCATGCCTATCAGCTACTCCACTTGGGATTATACGTGATATATAAATAGGAGAATTTTGTTCTCGCCCACCCATAACATTAAATCCAAGTCCTTCTTCAGTTTTTGGAAGTTCAACTACTCTTGGATGTGCATGACCTTCACTAGCAGCAAATGCAGCAACAGTAGCTTTAGCTGTAGCTGAGGCTCTGACATCCTATATAAAGATGTTTTATGTAGGTTACAAATAAATAAACAAAATAACATAATTAAAAGAAATCATTTTATACCTGAGAGCCTTGTATATCAACAGTTTCATATACATGCTCATAGACTTCCCTGACCGATGCTAAAAAATCACTTTGAAGTACTTTTTGCAATGCTGCTAATTTTGTCACAGGCACTTCTCCAGCTATGAACCATGTAGTTAAATTATTAATAATAATACTAAATTTAATAATTTTTTATATTAAATACTTACTTTTTTGGAGCTTTTCCAAAAGTTCTATAGCTCTTTTGACATCTGCAAAAAAATATCTTATTTATTGTCTGATTAAGATCTAGATATCATTTGTTAAAAATAAAATTCAAACCTTTTGCTAAATTTAAGGTCTCTCCAGCCACTGCCATTTCTGTAACTATAAATAATTAAATGCACATACACAAAATATTTTTTAAACATTCAATATGAGGCCAATTAGAGATATAGAATTATCACTTTACGTATTGTGTATCAACATTAACAAAGTAAAATATGTGGTTGAACTATATGTCCTAACTCACAGTTCTGCTAAGTCTTAGAGATACAAAGGTTATCTTATAAACATGTTTATCAGGATTGTGACATCATTGAAGTATATATAACCACAGAATAGATTAAACCAGAATGGACACTGATAAAAAAATTACATGTATTCTTATGAGAGTACGGTAATTTTGAGCTTATGTCGCTCAGTGTTACCATAAAAACAATAAAATAAATAATTGTATGCATATAATTCATTGTACTGTACAATAATTGTACATCGGCGGTTGATTTGAACTCTAAATGTATTACTTACATGCTAATTATTTTAGAAAATTTGCATAGTAAATTTTTTGGATTTATTTTATTATTATTTCTAAACATATAACACCATTTTAAAACTTTCAATTAATGTTTTCATTATGTGTAATTAGTTTGTGTTAATATATTTTTTATTTTATGTATATTTAATAAAGACTTATTTAGGAAAAAAAAATTATTCAATATCCACATAATATTAAATTTATTTAAAACATATATTACAATAATTTACAAATATCATATACATAAATAAATAATTTATAGATGAGTTAAAATAGACAATTTCCTATTTTAATTTTTTTCTCAGACATTAAATTTTTATTTAAAAATTTTATAGCTGTAAATATTCTAAATCTTGTAAACAAATTAATTAAATACAATTTATCAAAACATTTACAAGGGTGGTTAAAAGGTACATTACAAAAATAATTTTTTAATTCGGCTCCAACTCCATCTACAATAGCAAGTGTGGAAAAGTTATTAATAAAAATATTTTCTAATTCATTAATACCAATATTTACCATATATTTTTCATATTTACCAATAAACCATTTTTATAAACATTGTGTTTACAAACAAACCATTAATAATGGTGTTGAACAATGTGACCGTATATAAAGAAAAAAGGGAATACATTTTTATTTCTTAAGTGGCAACACTGAGCGACATAAGCTTGTTATCAGCAAAAACTAAGAGTGTCACTTCTGGTTTAATCTATTCTGTGGTAAAACTATGTAGAGCAAAACAAATAATTAGGACAAAAAACATTATGAATAATGTTATAATTATAACGTTTGTAATAAAAAACTTTGTCAAACGTAATCAAAAATATTTGTTATCATCAACTATAATACAACTTATAACGTAAAACTATTCTTATTAAAAAAGTTATAAAAATTCTTTACAAACGTTATAGTTAAAAAAATGTCGTGTAAGAAAATATTTTTTATTACATACACATTTTAATATTAAAAACAGCTTATGGTATAAATTTCGTTATTTTTCAAACCCTTACTAAATAATTCAATAAATACATAGGTTTCTTCTGTGTTATAGATTATCTGTTTATATGTTACTTTATCACTTGAATCAAATAGATATAATATAAGGAATAATAAATGGTCGATTATTACCTAATTTTGATTCCAGTTCGGTAGTTTAAAAATTAAGGTTTATGTCAAGGTTGAATCCGCTATATGCAAAGGATTTTGGATTTCTATCTGGTCTTTTTCGGTTATATATCAGGGGCCAGTCATAATACCTAAAATACATAACTCATATAACTATATGAATTGTAAAAAGGAACTATTTAAACAATTTAATCGCTAAATAAAAATATAGTTGTACATTTTTCCTTTATTTAATGAATAAATGCTGGTGTGTTAATTAAGTTCATTATATTTATAAAAGATGTTCGATAATATATATATACCTATATAGAATGACTAATAAATTGTATAAAGTAAATCCCATCACAGTGAAATCGCGACACAACGAGGACAAGTATAGATGATATTTGACAGTGATTAAAATCAATATCATAAAAAAAAGCTTCCATGCAGATCTGTTTAATTTTAAGAGGTAACACCACTGTTACCTCTTAAAATTACTTGTTATCAAAAAAATCGATTTTTTTTAAATACTTTGAAGCCATGGATATAAGAAAAAACTTGTAGACCCAAAAAAAATTTTTTTTATTAAATTTCGTGTTTTTTTTCAGGCGCCTCGCGCGCTCCAAAACGACCATTTACATTAGCGTGCACACCTGCTTGTAAGGTATTACGTATCAACTTGCCTATTTTATATAGTTTCTCTACTCCATTACTAGACATCGCTAGGTACCTCTTCTTACTCTTTTTAGCTAACACAAATGTTAAAAAGCAAACAAAATGACTTGTGGAAAAGACAATTTGACAGCTAAACTAATAGACCAGTTATGTTATGGTTTAGCAATACGCCGTAATAACAACTGCAATAAAGATATGAAAAATGAGATATGAGCCACATTATTTCATAAAATTTCGACCAACGCGAATCCGCAGCACGACAAATGCTCGGAGTCTTGGTGTTAATGGAAGAAGGCGTGAGCGGCGGGTGCACTGGATTCATTTTCTTATAAACCGACTGTTCCTCAAGAAGTATTTGATGCTGTAAAGCCTGTCTACGAGGAATTGAGCCGACAGGAGTTATTGAGTCGTAGCTTGGAGACTACCCAGACTAGCAACGAAAGTCTCGACGCTACCGTATAGAATTTAGCTCCCAAGAATTCCTCGAGCGGTAAAAACGGCATGTGCAAGCATATTGGTGATCATGAAGCACTTAGACATGGAAATTGGCGTTCAGGCACATAATTTCTGTATGAACGCCGACGCTTTTCACGTTAAGTTTGATGTAGTAAAAGGGCACGCTCTTCGCTAAAAACGTCGAGAAAAGAAGACGATAAATGTTCGCACTTTGAAGGGCAACTTTATAGTCCTTGAATTGCAGATTAACGGTAAAAAATTTGTAATACTTGAATTGTTTATTTTTTCACTTGTTTTGAAACTTCAGATGCGTTTATCTCAAAACAAGGTTTTTCAAATTGGCACGCACCAGAACTCATGCAAATTTTAAAATTATTTTTAGAAATTTTAACCATATATTGAAAACAACATTCTTAAGAGAAACACGTAAAGGTTTTTTGATAAATTAATTTAAACAGTTTTTATAAACAAATAAAGGGTATTTTTTTCATAAAAATTTTAACTCGAATTTTTTACTTGAAACACTTATAAAAAATTCAAAAATTAATATTTTAGAAATCTCCTACGTGTGTCTCTAGCTATACTAATATAGATTAAGAAAAAAATTTGTTTCTTTTTGCAAATTGAAATTTACTCCAGTTCTGCTGCGTGCCGCGGAGCGCCTTTTTTTAAGGAAATGTCGGAAAACCACCGTACCGACGCCATTTTGCACTATTTTTCAATTAAAAATTATATTTATACTTCATTATATTGCCAATACAATACTTAAAAGGTTTTTATCTGCACCTTTCCGTCCACCCTCAAAAAAAATAATGAAAAAACGTTTTTTTTAGCGTTTACAGTGGTGTTACCCCTTAAGAAATTGGTGGATTATTCCAAAAACAAAATGAACTCTTATATCCTTATTAATATCTTGTTTTATGAATTATAAAATTTTGGAAATGAAATGATAATTGAAAAAAAAATTATAAACGCTGTCAATTAGATCTGACATTCTGTATATTTCTAGAGAAATTATTACTTCTAACATATACGAAGTATTAAACAAAGTATTTATATTTATTATATTATTTGACTTTGTTTAGTGTTAGTTAATTAAGAGGTGGACATCTGAATTCTGTACATTTATAATTTCATATTTTTTTTTTAATTTTTCTTATCTACACAAAATACTATATATTGTGTGGAAATTAATTAATGATTCTCCATCAAATAGACTGTAAGTATTTAATGTTTCTATGTAATTGATAAATGATCTAATAACATTAAAATCAATGCCATTAAATAAGTAACTGAGATATTCTCCAAAATCTATTGTTTCATTCAAGTAGTTATTTTTCCAATTACCTGTAATTTCATTATATACTTCATTAGATCGTGATATATCGCAATCTAAAAAAATGTTAGTTCGATTGGATGTCTGTAACACTTCTTCTGTATTCCAATTCTCAACAATTTTACAGCCTAACCCTTCACAAAGTACTGATATTATATTGCTAATATAATTTACAAATTTTTCTGTATACTTCTTCTGATAAATTGGTAACTTAATGAAATCAATATTTCCATCGTTTTTCAAGGGATAATTTTCAATATGCTTAGAAATACTTTCTATTACAGCTTTAGTTACAGTATCACTTTCTAATGCTAGAAACTTGACGAAATTTTTAAGTGACATTAACCATTGGTTCATAAGGGTTTCAATCAATGATGCATCTTGATTTTTAATAAATAAAAATTGTTTCCAAGTCAATCTTAACATGATTACTTTGAAAAAATCAAAAATAGTTGAATAAAACAACAAGCATGAACGAAGATTTGTAGTTGGCCAATCAAGTTTATTGGCATTATTATAAACATCTTTCAGTTTCACAGTAATATCTCCCCATTGTATTCGTAAGTTAAAACTATTAATTAACTTTATCGCATTAGTGGTACTACGTCCAAATCTTTTCAAGTATAAATAAATTCTACTAAACACTATAGGATTTCCGTATACTAATTTTCCATTATCATTATTATTGTCAATTAGTTTTTCAATGTCATCTTTGTTTTTCAAAATAAATGATAAGATATAGTCAAAGTTAAAGTTAAGAGTATAGTCTAAGCCAATGTTAGTCATGTGAAATTGACTGTTTGTATCACACGTTTTGGACTCTAAAAGTAATTTTTTTAAAACAAACTCGTGACATTTTAAAATTTCAGCAATCTTAGAGCTATTTTCTTTTATACTACGTTTATTTAAAAAATAATCTGTGTATCTTCCAACTATACATGTATACATGTTCAATAACCACAATGATCCAACTTCAACTTTTTTGTTGAAGTACAATGACGCTATCTGTTTTTTTACAAATTGATTACCATGAGAGACTAAAGAGATTGCAGTTTTTGAATCACAAAGCTGATGTTGAAAAAGTAATTTAGTTAAAAGTAAATGATTTATACCAGCAAACAAGTAAGTGCATTTCAATAATCCTGGTTCAACTTTTTTGTAGTTTTCTTTATTTATTCCTTTATAGTTATTATAGCCAGTTTCTAATAAAGCAAAACTATCAAAATGGATGAACAAATTAAAAAATATGAGCGCTAAAAGTACATTTCCTAAAAAAACATAATCCACATTTTAAATACTAACCAGAATAATTTAAAAACTTTGTGTAATTATTTAATAATATGATACTCCAACTGGAGTTTTAGCTGATTATAAAAACTTAATTTTATAATTGAAAAAATTATAAATTTAATTTTATATTAGTAATAATATAAAATGATTACGTCATTTATTATACCTTCACATTGCGAAAATCTGTGTTTGAAATTCTAAATAGATTTATGTCAAATACTACTATTTCAAAAAAATTATTTAAGTACATACTTTTATTGTAAACAGGGTGAATCGTGAAGGTATATAAATCCATTAACTTTTGATACAATATTATTTTGTTGAATTTTTTTAAAATAAATATTGCCTTCTTTGACTACGAATAAAACATATTTTAGCTTCGATGCGAAGCTGAGAAGGTATTGGTTTTACTATGATGTGTTTTTTTTTATGTCTGTTACCACTTTTTCTCAGCTCTCACCGAACGGATTTCTTTCAACGATACGTCAAAAGATCACAAATATTATCTAGTCGAAGACATTACCCTCAAAATTTGAAAAAAATTCCCTCGTTCCCCGTAAATGGGGGAAACTTCCAAAAAAATTACAAATTTAAAAATCACAAATTTTCGAAATTTTCGAAATTTTTTTTACTTAAAAGTGCCATAACTTTTTCAAAAATGAACATATCAATATAATTCTTTTTTATATAGATGCATAATATCATTACCTTTCATTTGGTACATTTTTTTCATAAATTTAACCATTAACTTGCCCACAAGTGGGGATTTAAAATGACAACTTTTTCACGAAAAATTTACTTTTTCAACTTAACTTTTGAAAGTGTTTCGGAAGGTCTGACACTTTTATAAATATCTTAAATTAAAGCTAATGTAATATACTTTATTATGCAAAAAAAAAATGTTGGACTTTATTTTGTCTTCGTGGTGCAAATAGCTACCGAATGCTATTTTCGTGTGAAAATTCTCGATTTTATATTTTACATTTTTAACTTTATAATGATATAACTTATTGAAAAGTGTATGGATCAACATAATATTTTTATGAGAAATAATATTTTTTAATAATCCCTTTTTCATTCGACATACTTTATCTGAATCAGGATATTAATAACGAACTAGCAGATCATGTTGCTTTTGGTATAATCCACCAATTTTTTAAAATTAAACACTATCTAAAGATTTGCATCGAAGCGTTTTTTTTTATAGTGATTTTAATCATTGTCAGATGTCATTATACTTGATCCAACTATACCACGTCACCACTGTGCCGCGACCCCCCTGTGCTGTGTTGGGTTTTTTAATATTGTTACTCACAGTAAAAAGTTAAATTTGATGTAGATTTGAAAGACACAGTATTTCATTAATTGCAACCAAAATATTAACAATAATTTTTTTTATTCGCAATACAAAAATATACATAAAAACATTCATAAGTATAAGGCAAATTGAGTAAACACCAAAATAGAAAAATAAAATACAAGAGTGCATAATAAATATTTAAAAAAAAATAAATAAATCGTAATAAGTGAAATATTCAATCAGGAAAATAAAAATATAAATTATACAGGAAAAAAATGTTCAAATTACATTTTTCATAAGTAGGGACTGATTCAATGAATGCTTTTTAACGAAAAAGAACCTTTTTTAATTTGGTTCATAAGCAATTCTCTATTACTAAGTTGCTTGTCCTCGAATCTGGAATGTGTATTTTTATTAAAATTGGTATCAACAGACTTGCATGCAATACCGTTCTTTTCATCATTGTTAACATTTGATTCAGTATGAGCTTTTTTGTTTTCATTTTCTTTAATAATAATATGAATTTGTTCAAAAAATTTATCGAGTATAGAGAAACATTCTTCCACATTAAAAGATTTCGTGTTCTCGCCAAAATGAGAAGCTAAATTTGTTATAAGATCTACCGTTGTTTTAAAATTATCATTAAGTACATCAATATCCTTATCTGCTTGACAGATAAACTCTATTAGATGTTTTTTAATAACTTGAGAATAGTTCTCTTGTGCCAGTGTAGATTTAAAGTTTTTTATATGGCGAGAACGATTACGAAGCTCAGCTTCCAAACATTCAAATGAAGTTTTTGACAGTTTGTTCAATGATGAACGCAAATTCAAAAAACTAAAAGTATTATTTGTACATTTTTCAGCCATTTCTACAGCCAAGTGGACGAAGGTAACATTTGGCTTGTTAGACCGAGTACCTATCAGTTTAGGCAAACTACCCAACGTGAAACCGTTTGCTTCACCAGCATAACTTCCCTAACATAATCATGTTTTAATTAATAACTTATTTATTTAATTTTTCAGCATAAATACAATATTACATATTTTTTTAATTTTGTAGTTTCGATTAATAATAATTAATAAATAATAAAATAAGCATGAATAATAAAATACATGAACGAGAAAATATTAAACAACTTTGTGTATACTAATAAACTGGTGTATTTTTTTTATATATGCCGTTTGAGTATAAAATTAATACGACATACTAATGCGTATTGATTTCATACTTAAATGATTCTTATTATAGAGACATAAAAATATCATTCACACTTACTGCGTTCAATTTATTGCCTAAATGTAATACAACGGACAAAAATTGTGTCAACGATTTGTCATTAATTAATGTGGAACAGGTTTGTTGATAATTTTTTAATGTCTCAAGAGATTCCGAATATATGAAAGGCCACTCTTCCTTTAACATCGTAAGGTCGATTTTCAATTGATAATACGGAATTTCGTTAAGCTTAACACAAAACTGTTCCGCCTTGCCAAGTGTCATAATGTCTCCGCTGAATTTTTCAATAGCCTTTAAGTCAGCGCTTATGGGCAATATTCTTTTTACCGCTTCTAATTTTTCAATAGCAATCATACTTCCATCCTCTAAACACTTGAAAAATTCTTCAGGCTTTGATTTTAATTGTTTTAACATTATGTTAATCGCGAGACTTCTCTTAGAGTCTAAAACGTTGGTCGTAGTAGATTTAAGTTTAGCGTTTTGAATAGGCGATGTATTGGATCGCGGTTTTTCACCAAACAACTCTACAATATCTTGACATTCAATTGCAAGATGCAGAGGTTCCAACGTCGACCACAAAGAATTTTCAATATTTTGGTTGTTAACTTTAGTCCAGTTGATTGTTTTTGTTTTAACGACCGTGGGTTTGATTGAGGATGTGCGACTTGTAGATGTACATCCTGATATCATTGAGGGAGGTGTTGGAATAGAGGACGGTATCGATGGAGGAGACATTATTGGCACAGGAGCTGGTGCATGATGTTCTGTGTTGACTGATGGAAGTGGTGGTGAGCTAATTTTCGACGTACAAGTCGACGGTAATGTTGTGGGACACGAATTCAAAGTGAGTTTTTCTCCGGATAATTGATTTTCGTGATCCTCTGGCAACGATACAGGTTCTAACTTTTTTAGTGTAAGTTTTTTTCGTCTGACTGATTTACTTACTTGAGAATTTTGTAGTGGGTCTGGCAAAGCTTCCAAAAACACGCATACAAAAATGAAAGCTTTAATGTACAAGTTCGAAGTACAAAAATATACTACGAACGATAATACTAATAAATAAAAATGGTCTTTTTGGATCAACATTTTCACAAAGACAAAGTGTTGTAACCTTTTAGGCTCCGTAGGTGATGAATTGAAAATATTCAGAAAAATTTTTATAGTCAAAAACACAGAGATGTTGTTTTAAACGTTAAAACTTACGAATTTTTCAACTCGAGTGACGATAAAATCTTTTGTTTATTACGTCGTTGCATGAATTATCGTTTCCATAGTAAATATTTTGACCAGTATAAATTAAATATAATAAAAATTAGTTATTTATCATGAAACATATACAATTTACTAAAAATTTTTTATTGTAAAGGATATTTTTTTTAAGCATAAGAGTATTTAGATTGATTAATTGGCTAATAAAAAAAAACATAGAAAATTTATTATCAAATCTTAATTATATTGCAGTTTTGTTTGAGTAATTTTTAACACAATTGAATTCGATTAAAATAAATACATCAAAAGTGAATATAGTATAGGAAAATTACAACAATAAATAAAATAAAATAATTATCAAACTGTTTAGTGAAAAATCTATTAGAAGTTTCTTGAAATATTCTAATGTATTATACCCTACATTTTATTTTTCTTAAGTTATGATTATAAAGAGCATAGTAATAATGCTAAATATTTAATTAAATTTTTTGGTTTTAGTATTTAATGCACGCAAAGTATATATATTAGCATTTAGTATTTTAAGTAGTGATGGGAATTATCGAATAGTAACTATCGAACTATTTGATAGTCATTCAAAAAATATTTGAATAGTAAAAATATTTGATAGTTACACAATATATTCGAATAGTTCATGCTAAAAATAAACTATTCGATTGTATAAATACAGTTCCAAAATTCCCATCATTAATTTTAAGATTAGTAATTTTTGACTTTTTTCAGTTCTGTGCGTTCAATAGTGGCGGTTGTCAGGGTTTAAACCTCTTTTTTTTCGTTTAATTATTACTATAATGTATGCATAATTTTAACTCGACGAGAGAATTTTTTTAATATTGTTACTCACAGTAAAAAGTTAAATTTGATATAGATTTGAAAGACACAGTATTTCATTAATTGCAACCAAAATATTAACAATAATTTTTTTTATTCGCAATACAAAAATATACATAAAACATTCATAAGTATAAGGCAAATTGAGTAAAAACCAAAATAGAAAAATAAAATACACGAGTGCATAATAAATATTTAAAAAAAAAAAAAAAATTACATCGTAATAAGTGAAATATTCAATCAGGAAAATAAATATATAAATTATACAGGAAAAAAATGTTCAAATTACATTTTTCATAAGTAGGGATTGATTCAATGAATGCTTTTTAACGAAAAAGAACCTTTTTTAATTTGGTTCATAAGCAATTCTCTATTACTAAGTTGCTTGTCCTCGAATCTGGAATGTGTATTTTTATTAAAATTGGTATCAACAGACTTGCATGCAATACCGTTCTTTTCATCATTGTTAACATTTGATTCAGTATGAGCTTTTTTGTTTTCATTTTCTTTAATAATAATATGAATTTGTTCAAAAAATTTATCGAGTATAGAGAAACATTCTTCCACATTAAAAGATTTCGTGTTCTCGCCAAAATGAGAAGCTAAATTTGTTATAAGATCTACCGTTGTTTTAAAATTATCATTAAGTACATCAATATCCTTATCTGCTTGACAGATAAACTCTATTAGATGTTTTTTAATAACTTGAGAATAGTTCTCTTGTGCCAGTGTAGATTTAAAGTTTTTTATATGGCGAGAACGATTACGAAGCTCAGCTTCCAAACATTCAAATGAAGTTTTTGACAGTTTGTTCAATGATGAACGCAAATTCAAAAAACTAAAAGTATTATTTGTACATTTTTCAGCCATTTCTACAGCCAAGTGGACGAAGGTAACATTTGGCTTGTTAGACCGAGTACCTATCAGTTTAGGCAAACTACCCAACGTGAAACCGTTTGCTTCACCAGCATAACTTCCCTAACATAATCATGTTTTAATTAATAACTTATTTATTTAATTTTTCAGCATAAATACAATATTACATATTTTTTTAATTTTGTAGTTTCGATTAATAATAATTAATAAATAATAAAATAAGCATGAATAATAAAATACATGAACGAGAAAATATTAAACAACTTTGTGTATACTAATAAACTGGTGTATTTTTTTTATATATGCCGTTTGAGTATAAAATTAATACGACATACTAATGCGTATTGATTTCATACTTAAATGATTCTTATTATAGAGACATAAAAATATCATTCACACTTACTGCGTTCAATTTATTGCCTAAATGTAATACAACGGACAAAAATTGTGTCAACGATTTGTCATTAATTAATGTGGAACAGGTTTGTTGATAATTTTTTAATGTCTCAAGAGATTCCGAATATATGAAAGGCCACTCTTCCTTTAACATCGTAAGGTCGATTTTCAATTGATAATACGGAATTTCGTTAAGCTTAACACAAAACTGTTCCGCCTTGCCAAGTGTCATAATGTCTCCGCTGAATTTTTCAATAGCCTTTAAGTCAGCGCTTATGGGCAATATTCTTTTTACCGCTTCTAATTTTTCAATAGCAATCATACTTCCATCCTCTAAACACTTGAAAAATTCTTCAGGCTTTGATTTTAATTGTTTTAACATTATGTTAATCGCGAGACTTCTCTTAGAGTCTAAAACGTTGGTCGTAGTAGATTTAAGTTTAGCGTTTTGAATAGGCGAAGTATTGGAACGCGGTTTTTCACCAAACAACTCTACAATATCTTGACATTCAATTGCAAGATGCAGAGGTTCCAACGTCGACCACAAAGAATTTTCAATATTTTGGTTGTTAACTTTAGTCCAGTTGATTGTTTTTGTTTTAACGACCGTGGGTTTTATTGAGGATGTGCGACTTGTAGATGTACATCCTGATATCATTGAGGGAGGTGTTGGAATAGAGGACGGTATCGATGGAGGAGACATTATTGGCACAGGAGCTGGTGCATGATGTTCTGTGTTGACTGATGGAAGTGGTGGTGAGCTAATTTTCGACGTACAAGTCGACGGTAATGTTGTGGGACACGAATTCAAAGTGAGTTTTTCTCCGGATAATTGATTTTCGTGATCCTCTGGCAACGATACAGGTTCTAACTTTTTTAGTGTAAGTTTTTTTCGTCTGACTGATTTACTTACTTGAGAATTTTGTAGTGGGTCTGGCAAAGCTTCCAAAAACACGCATACAAAAATGAAAGCTTTAATGTACAAGTTCGAAGTACAAAAATATACTACGAACGATAATACTAATAAATAAAAATGGTCTTTTTGGATCAACATTTTCACAAAGACAAAGTGTTGTAACCTTTTAGGCTCCGTAGGTGATGAATTGAAAATATTCAGAAAAATTTTTATAGTCAAAAACACAGAGATGTTGTTTTAAACGTTAAAACTTACGAATTTTTCAACTCGAGTGACGATAAAATCTTTTGTTTATTACGTCGTTGCATGAATTATCGTTTCCATAGTAAATATTTTGACCAGTATAAATTAAATATAATAAAAATTAGTTATTTATCATGAAACATATACAATTTACTAAAAATTTTTTATTGTAAAGGATATTTTTTTTAAGCATAAGAGTATTTAGATTGATTAATTGGCTAATAAAAAAAAACATAGAAAATTTATTATCAAATCTTAATTATATTGCAGTTTTGTTTGAGTAATTTTTAACATGATTAAATTCTATTAAAATAAATACATCAAAAGTGAATATAGTATAGGAAAATTACAACAATAAATCAAAATGAATATCAAATTGTTTAGTGAAAAATATATTAGAAATTATTTGAAATATTGTAATGTTTTATACCCTACATTTTATTTTATTTTACATTTTCTTAAGTTATGATTATATATGATTATTATTATAGTATTTTTCATTATTTTTGTGTTGATCTGTTTAGTCATCAAAACAGTAAACATCCCTTGAAGAGGCGAGCTCATCACGAAAAACAACAGCTCGACCTCCGGCTTGAGCTCCCGAGTCTGATTATAATAATAAATAACGTATCTTTAGTGTGGTTATTATTGTCTGTGTGTAAACGTGTAAGCGACACGAACCGGTTTTATTGGTGTTCTCGGTGTATTATCGACAAAATTAGTACCGATTAGAATACCAATTTAATTGACAACAGCACAAGGCAAAAACCGGTCTCGTTTACATTAACCGTGCAATTATTAAGCAAGTGGCGCGTACCCTCATATATTATAAATGATTACGGACTGTTCGTCGCAACTTAACTGATCCGCTTTTGCAGATGCGTTGCATACGCATCCAAACTTGTCTGTGCTTGAAGTGAAACTGTAACAGTTAAATATCCATAGGTAGTGTTCAATTGGAAAATACATAATTAATCCCATACGCATGTTAATTACAATAATTTGATTTTCATATTTTACTCGATTATTAAAACATTACCGGTTTGGCTTGTTAATTAAGTGTTGGTTTAACGGGTAATTATAAATTAGTTTATTGATTATTTTCCAGCTGCTGCACGTACTAATTTCATGTATGTTTCAACCAAAAATATATATTTTCATTTCACAAAGTTACAGCATACAATACAGCGACAAGGGGTTTTCTCTGGGGTTTTAAAAATATATCTTTGCAAAAAAAATTACTCTTTACAAGAATTTTTCAAAATAATGTACTAACTTTATTTTATATATATATAGATAAAATAAAAACCCAGCACAGGGGGGTCGCGGCACAGTGGTGACGTGGCATAGATGGATCAAGTATAATGACATCTGACAGTGATTAAAATCACTATAAAAAAAAACGCTTCGATGCAAATCTTTAGATAGTGTTTAATTTTAAAAAATTGGTGGATTATACCAAAAGCAACATGATTTGCTAGTTCGTTATTAATATCCTGATTCAGATAAAGTATGTCGAATGAAAAAGGGATTATTAAAAAATATTATTTCTCATAAAAATATTATGTTGATCCATACACTTTTCAATAAGTTATATCATTATAAAGTTAAAAATGTAAAATACAAAATTGGAAATGTTCACACAAAAATAGCATTCGGTAGCCATTTTCACCACGAAGACAAAATAAAGTCCAACATTTTTTTTTTCCATAATTAAGTAAATTACATTAGCTTTAATTTAAGATATATATAAAAGTATCAGACTTTCCGGAACACTTTCAAAATTTAAGTTGAAAAAGTTCTACTTTCTACATACATTTTTTAGATTTGAACCTCACTCGTATATAGGGAAATGGTCCGATTTAAAAAAACAGTATGTCAAATGAAAGATATATATATAAATACTATTCCTCATGAAAAAATCGTATTGATCCATACATTTTTAAAAAGATATAGCATAATAAAGTTAAAAATGTAAAATACAAAATCGAGAATTTTCACACAAAAATAGCATTTGATAGCCATTTTCACCGTGAAGACAAAATAAAGTCCCAAAATTTTTTTTTCATAATAAATTGCATTACATTAGCTTTAATTTAAGATATATATAAAAATGTCAGACATTCCGGAACATTTTCAAAAGTTATGTGGAAAAAGTTAATTTTTTGTGAAAAAGTTGCCATTTTAAATCCCCACTTGTGGGCAAGTTAATGGTTAAATTTATGAAAAAAATGTACCAAATGAAAGGTAATGATATTATGCATCTATATAAAAAAGAATTATATTGATATGTTTATTTTTGAAAAAGTTATGGCACTTTTAAGTAAAAAAAATTGAAAAAATTTCGAAAATTAGCGATTTTTAAATTTGTAATTTTTTTGGAAATTTCCCCCATTTACGGGGAACGAGGGAATTTTTTTCAAATTTTGAGGGTAATGTCTTCGACTAGATACGATTTGTGATCTTTTGACGTATCATTGAAAGAAATCGGTTCGGTGAGAGCTGAGAAAAAGTGGTAACAGACACNCTTTTGACGTATCGTTGAAAGAAATCCGTTCGGTGAGAGCTGAGAAAAAGTGGTAACAAAAAAAAAAAAAAAAAAAAAACACATCATAGTAAAACCAATACCTTCTCGCTTCGCATCGTAGCTAAAATGTATTTGGTTATTATAACTATTTCTTTATTTAATATATTAATCTTTGATGTATATTACTATACCAACTACGATACGTGTTTTTTATAAGTTCTTATATAAATATGATTATATTCTATTATATGATTAAATATAATCATATGTATTTTAAATTAAAAGATAAAGTTCGACCTTATTCTTTTTTATTCTGTTGAGTGTTGTAATAATAACAATTTTAAATTAGAATTTTATTTATGCATCTATCTTTTATTTAGTCCTAATGTGAACATTAAAGTAAAATTATCAATTTATATATATTTCATTTTCAAGAGGCTTTAAAAATGAATGAACTGCATGTCAAAAAAATAAAACTTATTGTACCATCTTTAAATGAAATAAATGAAGGTATTATATTTACTACTCATTAAAAATATTTAATGATCATAGAATAATTTATTATAAAAGTTTTGCCCTTTTTAAACTAAATTTAGCTTAATCAGTTTCCAATTTAAACAAATTATTTTAAGAGTCATTTTTATGTGATTATTATGAAAGACTTTGTTTTTACCTTTTCAGATTCTTGGTTCTCATTAGTGTACCAAGGATCATAATTTTTTTTTTAATGCGATCATCAATTTATATTAAGAACAGTTCTTACAACGCTAAAACATGCTAAATGAATAGCAACAAAACTAAAGGAAATATTTTTCCCAAAGTTCAAAATTTAAAAAAGTTTTAAGTTGAATAATAGATTTCTCAGAAAATCATTTTTAATTTAGCCTGAAGTTACCTATAAAAATTGTATAAAAATTTATTAAGTCATTTTAACAAAAAAGGAAAATTTAGGTCTGAAAGAGTTGATTCCAAATATTCGAGATAAAATTGTCTAAAAAAATAGTAAGATCCGCAAATGAGGGATAATATAGCCTTATCTACCTTTATCTAAAAATGCTACAGAACCATAATTCTCTACTGTGAATACCACGAGTAAGTAAAGACCATTATAACTGTATGTGATAGTAGGGTGGCCCTTAAAAATCGAATTTTTTTTACGCCATCCCTTAATTTTTTTTAATGCTCATAATTATAAACTGTGCAAAATTTAAGACTGGCCCTTTAAGGTTAACCGATTTTAGCTGACTTCTAAGTTGAGTTGATGAGTCAATTATATCAGTAGCGTCTTTTAATAGTAAAATAAGTTTTGTTTTATTTATTTATCAAATAATGAGTTAATAGATTTTTTAACGAAAAAAAATTTTGTGATTTATATTAATTTTAGCTTCGATGCGAAGCTGAGAAGGTATTAATTTTACCATGATGTGTTTTTTTTTTTTATTTAATATGATGTATTTACACTTCAGCGGTTAAAAAATAATTCTCATTACAATGTCATTATTTTAGATACAGAGTTATTTGTTTTTAGTTATCTTGCCTGAGCTATCAAAGAATTTTAAAAGAGTAAGCATTGAAATTGTACAATGTCCTGATCTGACACAATCGCCTTTCTTTTTGGTTTCTGAAGGTAAAAAATTATCTATTTATATATTATGAATGTATAATTAATATGTATGAAATTAAAAATTATATAGTTAAAAAACAAAATACTAGTACTAAAATTCATGAAGAATAATATAAGTAAAAATAATATTCCATGTAAAATTTAAACAGATAGTTTACCTTTTAAATATCTAAAATTTAATTATGTAAACAAGTATTGAACATTATCAAAAAGTTATTGTTAATAAAATGACAGTTCAGTCAGTTATTTATAAATGCACTTCATATCAAAATATTTATTAATTAGGCCAGTCAACGAAGGAGTAATTTTGGCGAATGGCGGAAAAAATTCCCAACCAAATTTTTTTTTTTTTTAAGTTGAATTTAGATATGTATAATGACATACTAAAAGTCCTCATTGATTGGAATTGAGCTTTTTTTTACAGCCTTGCAAAAGTTCAAAAATGTAAGCTTTTTTAATTTTCTCAAAAAATATTTAACTTACAAAAAAAAGTTTCGTACAAAAGTTGTTTAAAAGACAATTTTATACAAAAAAGGTATCTGCTATTTTTTCATTTAAACAAATGCTTTTTGAGTTACATCACATTTAATGTGAGTACTAAAATTTATTTTCCATTTTTTCCATTTTACAGTTACCTTTTATCATGTTATACTTACATTAGACACAATGTTATAAATTCATATTTGTGTATGTGCGAGTTTATTTATTTATAGTATCATTAAAGTGTAGTGTATATTAAGATACACCGATAGAGTAGGTAATTGATTTGACGCTATATTGTTTAAACCCAACCCCAACGCTAAATTGTACATTTTTCCTTTGTTGACTGGCCTAAATGTACTGCCGTCTGTTCCACGGCATGACAATACACAAACTGCTTGCACTAGGTATCATACTGTATTATTATAGATTATTATAGAACAACATCCATTGTCCCAAATTGGAGTCCCTCACATCTCGATTTCTTTCCTTGTTACATACTTAAAACTAGGTTAAGATATTTGAATATTTACAAATGTTTATAAGTATTTATAGATTAATCACAAAATTAATTTAGTTAATGTTTGTTTTTAAATAATATTTTGTAAAAATTCAATATTAAATATTGAATTTTTATTATCTACATTTTACAGTACTTTACACATTTTATTCTAAGTGAGGAGTCTTATTATGAATACTAAATAGAATTTGGAATTAAAAATTTTTTTTTAAAGGATTGAGTGGAAATGAAAACATAATAGATGTTGGGAGTCCATCTTATTTGTTTCCAATAGTTAATAAAGATAAAGTTTATAAATTTGAAGATCTTCAACAAATAACAGGATCTGATCAAATATTTATTATTGGTGCTAGCGGTAGTGCATGGCCTTATCATGGCGAGGTAAATATAAATGCCATTAATGTGTTTTACCATAATAATCAAAAAAAATATGTAACTTATTTAAAACTTAATAATCGTAAGTTGGCAGCAAATTTTTTCAAATCTGGTAATAATGTTAAAAATGACACAAGAATTGTTAAGATTAATCATGAAAAACAAAATTGCATTACTGAAAAATTACCTATCAATGAAACTAGATTTGCTTTTTTAGCTAATTATTACTCAAGTAATGGGCTTAAAGGAGAAGTTAGTATAATTATATTTCTCATTACTATAATAATACTTATCATATTATGTTTAAAATGTCTACTCAAAAAAAAAAGGGTAGTCAGTTATACTAAACCAAGAAATTTATAGCACTGTCCAGGGCCGGATAAAAGGGGACACTTGGCAGGTACATTGAGTCCTATGGATATTAGATATATTTAAAATATTACGAGAAGTATTAATTCGTAAAATAATTTTTTTACTCATTATCAGGACTGAGTACTTATAAAGTTTTTTCCAGTCATCCCAAGTATTTTCAATGACAAATAGATATTCGCATTTTTTTTTTTTTCATATTAATACTAATAAAATATTTACACTCAATAGAACTGTAAAAATAATATGATGAAATCCTAGTTCCCAGAGTTACTATTTCACTTATTTTACATAAACGTTAACTTAATCAACTATATATATAAATAACAGGTCGGGTATTTTCTGCTACTCTTTACAGGCGAACAATGATAAGACAATCCATTTAAGGTCAATTACAGACAGTAATTTTATTATATATAATATATATATATAAACTAATAGACATTCAATATATTAACACAAAAAAAGAAGGCCGTAATAACATCACCCAATCATCAGCCAACCACATTGCACTTTGACGTTGGATCGACTGCCGAATGCTTCCCAATTAACTCTCCTTTTAAGTATGGAATGTCACCTCCGCTAGTCTCGATTTCCGTTGTGCACTCGCATAGTAGTACGTAACGGATGAAAGAAAACTGTTGGTTGTCGCTTAAACAGGCCGATAGAAACAAATCAACAACAGAACAAAAAGAAAACATGTCAGCTCACTGGCCACGAGTCATCAGATCCAATGGTACGGTGTAACGTCAACCGCTTACACAAACGTAATGACAACTAGGTACCGGTAGTGCCGAACACGACTGTTATGATTGCGACGAGAGGAGTAATGGGCGATTTTAAACTACGTGGTGTTTGACGGGGTACACTCGTAACTTTTGAACAAGAACAAAAAACATTCCTGTGATACCATACTTTAATAACTCTGACAAAATACCACGGAGTTGGTTATTTCAAAAGTGTCCCAAATGATATTTATTAACTCTTGAAGTCCCAAGCCCTGCTTATCATTTTATTATTTGATTAAAGATCTCAATTGTAGAGAGTCCTCCTAGGACCTCCGCCTCTCTGATTCGATATATCTTAAACTTGGTACCATCCAAAGTATGTTTTTTATAATACTGAAGTTTCACTAGAATATTTTATAAAACTAAAGTATTCTAGAACATACATTTGCATTTTAAATGCTATTGGAGGAAGGCTTCCTAGTCTTCCTCAAATAGTTATTCTGTCAGACGAAGGAGTCACCCCACAATATGTACATTTATGCATAAGTGACAATATATTATATTGTCAAATATAAATACTTTAAGGGTAAGTGAGGTTTAGCACTCCAAAAATTTGATTTTAGTACGAGTGTATTCTCTTATCTATAAGTATGAAAGTTTTATTACACGTTATTCATATTAACACTGACTTTCGTTTATCAACAATTTTATATTTAATTAACCCACAACATTTTTATTGTAGCTGTATCTATATAGTGCAACTACAATTTTATTGTTATCGTTATACTGAAATAACTTATAAATATAATAATTTTTTTTTCAATCCAACCATTTTTAACTATTAACATTAATTAATAGAAATATTCTTTCAGTGATTTCAACCTTTATAATTAGGATTTTGATAATTGCTGCCTAATAGTTTTTCAAATTTGCTTATATAACTAAATATTTTTCAAAATATTACCTAGGTGTTACGCATTGAATGTGAAAAACGTATTGGTCCATTAGATTTTTTAACTTCTATAAGACAAGCTCTTACAAAGTTTTATGGAAATAAACTAGTTGGTGAGTATATATATTTACTACGAATGTCTTTCATCCGATACTATCAAATAAGTATTTGTTATAGGTCTAGGTGGAGTTATTTTAATAGAAACTGGTAAAGTAAAAGTTCATGTTATGCCAGAATTTTCAAAGACACCAATCAATTCAGAAGATGATTTAAATAAATGGTTGAAATTCTTTGAAATTCCTACCCCATTAGTGGGTTTAGGATATTTCGTGTCACATGACCCAGTATTTTTTTAAGTTTTAAAAATAATATTTTAAATTAAAAAAGACATAATATTTTAGGGTTTAGATTTGAGATTACAACATTTTCATTTATACAGTGAACACGGTGTAGGTGGTCATTATCGTTGTGATACAGAACCAGCTACTATAAAATATACAGCATATTTGAATGTGGCAAATAATCTTTACAGAGTTGACCAACCAGATGGAAATTATTCTTCAAACTAAGATTAATTACAATTTAGTATTTGAAACGTAGAATTAATTTTGTGTTATTTCAAAGTTAATATTTTGCATTAATTTAGCATTAACATTTTGAAAATTGTACTAGACAAATTTTTCACGTTTAATAAGTATAATTTTTAATAAAATAAAATAATTTTTATGATATTTCATAAATAAATATATTGAACTCAAAATCTTATTTGTATGTATATGTATGATGTAATAAAAGTAATAGTTTTATGAAAACATTATTTTCTTGTTTCCTATTAAAAAAATCTATCCCGGGACCCCAATTAGATAAAATCCGGACTTGGTCATCTACAGCTTTATCGGCAGAAACGATTAAGGTATGATAAAAGATACATACAATTTAATTTCACTGTTGTTTTCACCATAAAAATATATAAAAATTATAATTTACAGAGTGTTCTATCATAGTTTACTGATATGAATATTATTTCATATAATCTCTTAGTGACACCTTGTACATTCATTTTAATCATAATTTTATTGGAAAACTTTATATTATAACAAAAATTGTTCGAAGATTTTAGATTTGTGTATGTTTTTTTTCCAAAAAAACGATTAACTTGATTTTTAATTACACAAAAATCAAAAAAATTCTTTTTTAAATCAATAACAAATTGTCTAATTATTGGTCATAAATTCATAATTCTGATATAAACCAAAAAAGTTATAGGGCATAGTTCAGCCTAATAATTTACCAAAATCAAATATAAAGATCCCAATTAACCAGATAAACTTCACGCAGCAGTTCCAAATTTTGCATAATTTTTTGTCTAACTGTTCCATTAAAACAAATTTGAACAGTTATTGAACATTTTTTTAAATTTGTGTAATAGCTTCTTTTACTAATGAACAATTATTTCAGAAACTAGATAAGATGGATGGAATTTCAAGTTAGATTTTAAATCAGCAACAAAATTCCTTACAAATTTTACCTAAATATTATAAACGATGGAATTTTGTTATTGCTGTTTCAAGCAATTATGAACAAAAGAAAAGATCTAAATAGTTATTTGTAGCCTCTTTATTCAAAATGATAAGTATAAAATGGTTTGTTATATCTCCCCACCAAAACAATGATATAATGCCCCTGATTTTATTAAAAAAAAATTCCTCTTCTTGACATAATTTTATCAAATTCAAACCAAACGTCAATTTCAACAGCGTCAAATACTATGTGCTTTAGTACAAAAGACAATTGAGAAATCATTATAATTAATAATACCCCATATACACTAGTTCAATCTTTAAAAATAAACAAAAATAAAACAACTTAACGATTAAAAGAAAATAAGGCTGGTATTCACCTCTTAGAAACTAGTGAGATTAGATTTGAAAACATGTTGAAGACTTTTTTCTATGCTCATTATACTGTTTCATTGATCAATAGTTTAGAAAATATTTGTTTAATATTCCCTTATATAACAAAAAAAAATAAAAATTTAGTACTGTCATTGGTTATGTAGACGGTGATTCTCGCTATACAAAATACAAATTGTGGTTTTAGTTCCCAGCATGGACAAGTATGCTCCAAGTTCATAGTGTTTTTGTGATAAAAATATTGATATTTATTATTCAATAGTTAAGTATTATCAGTTTTCCTATCAAAAATTATGGTGCTAGTCTCAAACTATCAAGTAAACTTATTGCTACTAATCCAACCTGTTATAATGTAACTTTAAAGTTATAACACATCTAAAACAGTATCAATGCGGATTTTTTTTTTAATTCTCCTAAGAAGTCGAGGATATCAAATTCGACGTAGTTACACATATCAATAAATATTCAATACAAGTTAAACGTAAGTTCAGTTTATTATTCTCATAAACCCTAATGAATAATGAGGTCAGTGATATTATTATTATAAGTAATTATATATTTTTTAATATGTTATTGAATACTCTCAATTAACATTTATAACAATTTTATATCACTGAAATAATAAAAATGTATCATATAGCCAAGAAACACTACTACATATATAAACTTAGTTGTGGTATGAGATATTTAAATTGCATTAAATTTTAATTATTTAGTTAAAATATTTTTAATTTTAATGATAACTTGTTGGTATATTAAAACTATTTAAAAATCTTACCTGCCTCATTAATGTTATGAAAGTATTTCAAAATTATTGTTTGCATAACAATTTTCATAAAAATTTTTTTTAGAACTATTAAAATCATTATTTAATTTTATGTAAATAAATTTCTTAAAATAATTTATAGAAAAAAGTAAAATCGATAAAGTTAAAGATTTTTTTATTATTATTTTTTATAATATTTTTAATATATTTAAAATATTTAATTTTAAAGTAAACATTGTCCATTTTCATTTAAGGTCATCACAGAATTTGTATTTATATTTTAATTTTATTTGATTTTAATTGGCTTAAAGACATATATAATAACAGGAATGATAGATTATTTTATTATGTAAACCTAAAAAGATACTATTATACATTTATTTTCATAATTAATGTAATTGTTTTACATTTTGAATAATTCATATGTTGACATTTTGATCTATTAATTTATTCCATATTATTGTTATATATCTTTTTGTATTATATACTGAAGAGTGTTTACTGTTATCAATATAAAAATAATTAATGTTGTCAAAAATATTAACTAAGTTTCAAAAAAGACAATATGAAAATATAAATTATGTAAAAATTTGATCTGGAGAAAATTTTTTTCTCTAATTAAAATTAATAATGTAATATATTTTATATAAGACACCAACATATATTATATGGGTTCTTCTTGAGTTTTAATTTTTCAAAAATGTATGTTTTTTTATAGCCTTTATTCTAAAAAAATATTTAACTTTACAAGTTTAAAAAATGTAAGCTATTTTTTTTGTTAAAAATAACTGATATAGAATAAATGGTATGTAGAATTGCATACAAAATTTGAGACAATGAAATGTTGAATGCTCCAAATTACATAAATAGTTGTTTTATAAGTGTTCTGCTGTTATAATTATTCACAAATTATTTATGAATTATCTTGACTTAAAAATATTCATATGAAGTTTATTATGACTATTAATTTCCAAATCATTAAATTGGATTAACTTGTTATAAGATATTAAGTATATGTTAATTTGACTTCTACTTTATAGTTCAGAGATAATTTTTTTTTATATACACACATATTTTTTTTAAATTATTGTTATACAACCTACCTGATAAAAATAATAGGATTATAGAACCAAAAAAAATACCTTAGCAAATCATAATATATGCACATAATGTATTATGGCTGTTAAAATATTCAATTATATTTAGTACTAAGTAGATAGTATTATAAAATATAATTACTTTGTATTCTGTGTAATTAATGTTAATTATTAATATTTGTATTGCTAAAAAATATAAATATTTCTTTTAAAAATACATATTATTATTCTCTTCTAATTAATTTTTTTAATTTGACTTTCTATATTTTACTGTGAGTGGAGTGTAAGTTTTTTTAGAATTAAAGTATATAGAAAATATTTTTTATAACTTAATAAAACAGTTTATTAAAAACTATATAAAATTTATCGACCAATATATTTATCGAGTCTTTTTCAATCTGTTTAAAAATAAAATGACTTATGTTTTCTTTCATTTATTGTATATTCAATTACATATAATTATAATTTGATTGTAGACTTGCAATAATCATGGATCAATCAAGTGATAAACCTTCATTCGAGGATATTCAAATACCAATACCATTTGGTTACGTAAGTGGTTAGTACTTCTTAAAAATAATTTCAGCATTTAACTATATAAAAAATCATGAATTGATGATAATAAAAAATATAAAAATGATCTAATTATGGTTTAAACTTGTAGGCTTAAAAATATTTTAATTTATCTTTATAATTAAAATTTTAAATTACAAATTTCCATTATCTTTAGCAATTAAATGTGAAATTAGAAAAATGCTGATGTCATAATTATTTTGTCAACTTGCACCTAGATGTAAAATGAATTTGTATTATGATGTAATAAGTTCTTATGTAATTAGAATTTTTTTCTTTTATTAAATTAGTTATAATTTAATCTAACCTTTACTCTTTAGTATACAACTTGTATTCTATAAAGTGTGGTTTTCTCAAAAAACTTATTATTTTATTTTTAAATCATACGTTATGAAATTTAAAAGAAATCTACAAAACTTTTATTTTAAATTATGTAACCATGTTCCATTTACTAGTTACAATAGTTAATAGAAATTCTATTTATATTTATCAAGGATTAAAACCTTTGAAATAATTAGGAATTAGTTTATAACATATTTTCAAATTTAAATAAAAGAGATTCTAATTTTATCTAATTTTTTTTAAGGGGTTCTTACTAAGAACCATTTTTTAATATATGTTCTAGCGAAAATAAATATGTAGTTATTTTATAAATCTAGTTTTTTTGAAGTTTAAATTTAAATTTAGTTTAATCTTTGATTATTTATTTTCTATGTTTGAATAGGTTCTTAAATGTATTTTTAAAAAAAGATTCTAACTCCTATGCAAATAGTTATTATTATTAATTCTTTCAAGTTAATTATTGTAGAATAATTAGCTTTGAATTTGAATAAAATCATTATTTTCTTTTATATCTATCGTTAAAATTGATTTGTTTAATAAGAGAGGGCTTAAAACTTAGTAAATTGCCTTAGTGGATATTAAATATGTATATTACCATTAACAAAATACAGATGATAGTAATATAAGGTATAAAAGATTAATTAATAATTGATAAGTCAAGGAATATATAAAACTAAAAATAATTTTCTTTATGTAATTATTATTATTTTAAGAGAAATCAAGTGGCTAACTTTAAAAGAATCACCTTATATATAATTTTGAAATGTTAAATTCAATTTAGTATAAGAGAAATATTTAGATATAAATGTATTATGTCATGTTATAATATTCTAAATTATTATTTTTATTTAGCAAAATGGTGGGGACCAAGAGATAAGCAACCCATAATAGCTATCCATGGCTGGCAAGATAATGCTGGAACATTTGATCCTCTGATTGAGTTACTTCCAAAAGAATTATCTATACTTTGTATAGATTTACCTGGACATGGTAGATCTTCCCATATACCTCCGGTAAAATAATGGCAATTCAAATTTATTGTTTTTATAATGATTTTCTTTAACTATTCTCTACATAATTTTAAGTTAAATAGTGAAGTCCAGATAGCATATTTTTACAAATAATATTAAAAAAAATTTTTATTGAATTTATCAAGAAAAAATTAAAAAAAACCCAGCACAGGGGGGTCGCGGCACAGTGGTGACGTGGCATAGTTGGATCAAGTATAATGATATCTGACAGTGATTAAAATCACTATCAAAAAAAAACGCTTCGATGCAAATCTTTAGATAGTGTTTAATTTTAAAAAATTGGTGGATTATTCCAAAAGCTTCATAAACTGCTAGTTCCTTATTAATATCCTGATTAAGA